CTCTGTCTAAAAAAAAAAAAAAAAAAAAAAGAAGCGCTAAGCCAACAGCACACAGGAGGCTAATCCTGCCATGCCTGCAGAGCAAGTTACTTATTTTGGAGACAAGCTTTCACTGTTGCCCAGTCCAGAGTGCCTCATGTGATCACAGCTCACTGCAGCCTTGACCTCCGGGGCCCAAGTGATCCTCCTGCCTGAGCCTCCAGTGAAGCTGGGACTACAGGTGTGTGCCACCATGCCCAGTTAATTTTTGTATTTTTTGCAGAGATGGAGTTTTGTCATGTTACCCAGGCTGGTCTCAAACTCCTGAGCTCAAGTAATTCTCCTGCCTCAGCCCCGCAAAGTGCTGGGATTACAGGCATAAGCCACCGCATCCGGCCCCTAGATTGATTTAAACAGCCAAAATATACTCCCTGCACCAGATTAGAAAGCATTAGAGGTCCGGGGCCTGCATGTTCAGATTAATTATTCTGATACCGGGCTCAGGAGGATCACAGCACTTGGTCCCCGGCCCACTGCCTGAGCAGGAAGGTAAATGAATTCTGCTTGGTGCCCCTAAATGGCTCCAACCCAGAGGTGCGTCCTTCCTCCAGGGCCGAGTGTCCAGTAACCCCAAGTGACAGAGAGGCACAGCCCCCACCCTTAGGGTGTTGGTGTGTTTGCTGGGATGTGGCTGTCGGGACCTGGGATTCCCGTCAGGCATAAGCTTCTGGAGCGACAGGGTCATGTAGAGTGCACCTAAGCTCTGTTTCAGACCCCACTGTGGCCCCAGCCCGTGACTGACCTTTGAGGGCTGTGTATGTGAAGGGGAATGTTTGCAAGCTTGGCTTATCCAACAGGTTTTTAGCAGCTTGGAGATTCTCAGGGAACACAGCAGGGTGGAGCTGATGCCAGACTTTTTTTTTTGAGACAGGTTCTCACTGTCACCCAGGCTGGACTGCAGTAACACAATCTGGGCTCACTGCAGCCTTGACCTCTTGTGCTGAAGCAATCCTCCCACCTGTTTCCCTGAATAGTTGAAATTACAGGTGCATGGCACCATGCCCAGCTATTTTTTTGATTTTTAATAGAGATGTGGTCTCACCATGTTGCCCATGCTGGTTTGGAACGCCTGAGCTCAAAGTGATCCTTCCGCCCAGGCCTCCCAGTGTTGGGATTATAGGCGTGAGCCATCAAGCCTGGCCTAGAGTGTCTTTTTTTTTTTTGAGACGGAGTCTTGCTCTGACGTCCAGGCTGCAGTGCAGTGCAACCTCCGCCTCCCGGGTTCAAGCGATACTCCTGCCTCAGCCTCCTGAGTAGTTGGGATTACAGGCTCATGCCACCACGCCTGACTAATTTTTGTATTTTTAGTAGAGATGGGGTTTCACCAGGTTGGTCAGGCTGGTCTCAAACTCCTGACCTCGTTAGTGATCTGCCCGCCTCTGGCTTTCCAAAGACCTGGGATTACAGACATGAGCCACCGCGTCTGGCCTCAGAGTGTTTTTTTTTTTTTTTTTTTTTTTGTGGAGACCGAGTCTGTGTCGCCCAGGCTGGAGTGCAGTGGTGCAATCTCAGTTCACTGCAACCTCTGCTTCCCGGGTTCAAGCAGTTCAATTCTCCTGCCTCAGCCTCCTGAGTAGCTGGGACTACAGGCACGTGCTACTATGCCCAGCTAATTTTTGTATTTTTAGTAGAGATGGGGATGTACCGTGTTGCCCAGGCTGGTCTTGAACTCCTGAGCTCAGGCAATCCACCCGCCTCAGCCTCCCAAAGTGTTAGGATTACAGGCGTGAACCACAACATCCGGTGCCTCAGTGTCTTAAATGAGGTGAAGCTTGCAGTCAGTTCTTGCAGGCGTGGTCTCACAGGCCTTCCCCTCAGACCTGGGCAAGTCCTTCATTTCCCCAGGAGCTGCCATTAGCACTCGCGGGACCTATTCTTCCGGATCCCCAGGAAGGCATGTGTGGGAGGGGCTGCAACCCTACCACCCACAGGGAACCCCTCAGGACTGCTGGGTGCTGGGCCAGTGGGGACCCCCAGCCCCATTTAGCTGCATGGCCCTGGGCAAGCCACTTGTCTTTCTGGATGGGCCCGCTAATTTGCAGGTATTGTTATGCCAGCGGAACTCCTACAGGCTACATTTGTATCTCCGGTTCCACCCAATCCCCCTTCTGACTCAGGGGTCCAGGGTGGGGCCCTGTATTGCTACTTGGAAATTGCTTCCTGGGCAGGTTTGCTTCGGTTTTCTCAAAATTGCAAGGGCCCTGCCCTCAGCCTCTGCCCAAGGGTCACGCCACAGCCGCTCAGCGCCTCCCTGGGCCCACCCAGACCAGAGCCGCCTCCCTGGAGACAAAACCACATTCTCCCTGGAGCTGTGTGGCTCCTCTTCCTCTTTTGTCGCCCTGGACCTGGGAGCGTTCAGCCAGGTCGTTCAAGACTGCCCAAGGCTATGGGAGGACCTTGGGAACGCCCCAAGCTACTCCTGGGTCAAAGGGGTTCTCTGCTGGGCAGTGTGGAGGCCGCCACTCTAACCCCCATCCCTGCATTGAGTCCAGGGGGGCGGTCAGCCTGTTTTTCTACGGACCCGCAGCGGAACTCCCCCTCCCCCTCCGCTTTACTCAGTGGGGCTCCCCAGGAGGGACAGGGAGAGTCTGGTGTGGCCCTGAGAACCGGGTGTGTAACCAGGACCCGGCAGAAAGCACCACGCCCACCAGCCTCGAGCCTGGACTCCTGGGCCTACATCTGGACGCGCCCCACGGAGCTCTGTCCACACCTCAGGAGCGAGTGGGAGCTCCTCTCTGTGATGAGAGCGTTACAACCCTGCCCTGACTTTTGCAGCCCCAGCGCTTCCGGGCGCCACTCCCTTCCCCGCCTCGAGACCCGCACTCCTGCACAGCCCGGAGACCAGGAAAACAATCTTTTTATTGACGGGACCCAGGAGCGGGGGTGGGAAGGCAGCGGGAGGGGGAGGGCGGAGGGGCCTCGGCCTGGAGAGGGGAGGCTGGCCGCAGCCGGGACTCACTGGCACGGGTCCCTGAGGACCCCTCGCTCGGCGGCCGCGCTGCCCAGAATGAAGCCCACGGCCAGGGACACTGTCTGGTCGAAGGCGCCGCGCAGCTGCTCCACGTGCTGGTTCAAGGTCAGCAGCTGGTCGCGCAGCGGGCCCAGGATGTTCGCGATGTCGCCCAGGTGCCCCAGGGTCTGCAGCAGGGCGGTGTTCAGCGACGGGGGCGCGGCCGGAGGGGGCGCGCAGTCCTCAGGGCGGCCGGGCGGCGAGTCGGGGTCTTCACGGGCCGGGGGCGGCGGCGGGGAGCCCGGACGGCGGAGGGGTGTGCGGTCCTCGGGGATGCAGGGGGCGGGGACTGGCGGGGATCCGGGGGCGCGGGAGGTGTCGGTAGACTTCGGCGGGGACGGGCTGAAGCGGAGCGTCCAGGCGGGGTCCGCGTCGGGGTCGCGGGCGGTGGGCAGCGGAGTGGCGTCTGGGATCGCGGAGAGGGCGGTCGGGCGGGGATTCGGGGGGCGCGCCCGCCCCTCCCCCGCAGCCCTCGGCCCCATCCGGCCCCCCAGCCCCCCCGCTTACCTGGTTCGGCCGGAGCTGGCGCGTGCGCGTTGGGGGCCGGGCGGCGGCCGCGCTGGGGGCGCCCGGACCCGGGGGAGCGGCGGCGAGGCCTTTTGCGCCCGTTGTCGCCCAGCAGCCCCATGAGCTTCCGGATCTGCTCGTCGAAGGGCCCGGGCGGCTGGCCGTGCGCCTCGCGAAACTTGTCCTTGAGGAACTTGTAGCGGCGGCGACACTGCGCGGGGGTGCGGCGCACCTGCTGCCGGGCCAGCGCGGCCGACACGCGGCGGTAGGTGGGCAGGGCCTGGCGGCGGTCCAGGAGCAGCGCGCGCCACACGGCCGGTTGCAGCAGCGTCCCCAGCAGCAGCTCCGTCTCCTGGGCGCTCCAGGGCGTGCGCTGCGCCGAGCCCGGGGACACTGGCAACCCGAGTTCCCCCAGCGCGCTGGGCGAGGCGGGCCTCCGGGGCGGGGTCCCTGGGACGTCTCCGGGCGGCCGCGGCTCGGGGTCGGGGCTGGCGGGCGACGGCGGCGCGGGGGGCGCGAGCGGGGGCGGCCTGCGGGGCCGCAGCAGCATCCCTGGGCCGGGGCGCGACGCGCGAAGATGGAGAGGGGGTCGGACGCCGCCCGGGCCGCCCACACGCGTTCTGAGCATCCCGCGCCGCCGTCCCGCCGTCCGAGCCGGGTCTACACGACCCTCCCACCGCCCCCGCCCCGCCCCCCGCGCCCCGCCCGCCCCGTCCGCCGGGTCCTAAGGGGTCCGTCCTGGGCCCGCGGCCGGGAAGACAGAGCAAAGCCTGGCTTCGGTCGGAAACAGAGTCCGCAGTGGTTCTGTCCTTAAAGGCGTTTAACGGAGGTGCCGGGATGCCTGAGCCCCGTTCGCTTTTAGCCGGTGCCGAGCCTCCCCCCGCCCCCGTCGAGGTGTGTGCGGAGCCCCTCCCGCTCCGGAAGGCGCTGCCGCCCCCTTGTCCGGACCCCAGTGCTGTCCGCGCCCCCAGCCCGGGCCCAGCACCTGCACGCGAGGGGTCCCGAGGACCGCCCGGGTCTCAGTGGGAGTTGCCAGGCCAGGGGCTGGGTGGAGGGAGAAGCTGCGCCAGCCGCGGGAAGGGGCGTCGGAATTCACGCGCTCTGCAGAAGGAACTTCTTAAATCTGAACTTCTTCCGTCTGAAGCGCGTCTGCAGCCAGGATCCCGGGAGGAGGAAATCCTCTTCCTCTTCGCCGCGCGGCGCCGAGTCCTTCTGTCTCCTGGGTCTCCTCTGGGCCGTGGCAGCTTCTCGCGTCCTCCACACGGTTGAGGACGGGCCAGGTGTTTTGTTGAATGTTCCTCGACTTGGGTTTGCTGGTGCCTTCCTGTGATCGGACTAGAGGGGTCGGTGTTTGGAAGGAAGGCGCAGGGGGGGGTCTCGCCCTCCTAACCGGTGGCTCAGCACCGGTGAGGTCCGCTTTGTGGTTAGGTGGGGACTGTCTGCCCGTCTTGCACTGCTCAGCTACCGCCGCCCCATCCCTGCTGTGGTCACTGGTATCCGGTCCCTCGGTCCATCCCCAACCCCTGGGGAGAGGAATTAGGCCCCACCTCCTGGAGGGGTGTCTGTTTTTTGTGGGATTCTTCTGTAAGGAGGTTTGTCTCTCACCTGTTGATTTATCTACTCATTTATTTCTGCAGTGTGGGCCGGTGTGTATTTATTTTATCTCTTAGGTCATAACCCGATGCTGTTGTTATTTATTTATTTTAAAAGTTCTGTTTGTTTTTGTTCTTTTTTACAGATGGGGTCTCGTTCTGTCACTCAGGCTGGAGTGCGGTGGCCCAATCACAGCTCACTGTAGCCTTGAAATCTTGGGCCCAGCCGATCCTCCAGCCTCAGCTTCCTCGGTAGCTGGGGCTACATGTGTGCACCACCACACTCAGCTAGTTTTTTTTTGTTTGTTTGTTTTACTTTTGTTTTTTTTTACTTTTTGTAAGGACAGGGTCTTGCTATGTTGCACAGGCTGGGCTTGAACTCTTGGGCTCAAATGATCCTCCTGCTTGGGACTCCCAGTGTGTTGAGATTACAGGCGTGAGCCCCTGTACCTGGCTTTTATTTATGTTTGCTCAGATTGTTCCCACTTTGGCCATTGAAACTCTTCTCACCTCTTCCTGTCTTCCTGTGTCCTTTTGAAACCTCCCTCCTAGCTCCCTGGCACTATAGGATGCTCCTGCCTCGTCTGGTCCTTTGCTGACCCTGGCCCTAGAATCAGCTTTTCAGACTCTTCTCCAGAAATCTGTGGTTCCTGGCCAGGCACTCATACACATGTCTCACACCTGTATTCCTAGCACTTTGGGAGGCTGAGGTGGGCAGATCTCCTGAGGCCAGGAGTTTGAGACTGACCTGGGCAATATAGTGAGACCCCTATCTCTGCAAAAAATTAAAAATAACCAAGTGTAGTAGCAGGTGCCTGTAGTTCCAGGTACTTGGGAGGCTGAGGTGGGAGGATGTCCTTTTGCTCAGGAGGTTAAGCCTGCAGTGTACCGTGATCACCCCACTGCACTCCAGCCTGGGTGACAGGGCAAGACTCTGTCTTAAAAAAAAAGAAAAGGGGGGGCGGCAGGCATGGTGGCTGTAATCCCAGCACTTTGGGAGGCCGGGAGGATCACCTGAGGTCAGGAGTTTGAGACCAGCCTGGCCAACATGGTGAAACCCCGTCTCTACTAAAAATACAAAAATTAGCGAGGTATTGGTTGTGCACCTGTAATCCCAGCTTCTAGGGAGGCTGAGGCAGGAGAATTACTTGAACCTGGGAGGGGATCTCAAAAAAAAAAAAAGCCGAGTGTGGTGACTCAAGCCTATAATCCCAGCACTTTGGGAGGCCGAGGCGGGCAGATTATAAGGTTAGGAGATTGAGACCATCCTGGCTAATATAGTGAAACCCCGTCCCTACTTTTAAAAATACAAAAAATTAGCCAGGCATGGTGGCACGTGCCTGTAGGCCCAGTTACTCAGGAAGCTGAGGCAGGAGAATCGCTTGAACCCAGGAGGTGGAGGTTGTAGTGAGCTGAGATTGCACCACTGCACTCCAGCCTAGGTGACAGAGCGAGACTCTGCCTCAAAAAACAAACAAACTAGAAAGATTTTTAATAACTGAGGGTTGGGGGTGCTAGGAGCATCTGATGGGTGGAGATCAGAGATGATGGTGCGCAGGACCCCAGGGTAGACGGTCCAGCCCGCAGTGGCAGCTGCAGTGCACAGCACAGCCCGCCATGATTCCGTCTGGGACAGAACCAGGACGTGTATGGCATGGGCTGGCCGTGGATGCGCATGTGTGACCATCATTGGGATACACGTGAGTTCACGTGACCTCTGACCCTCGTCCTGCGCGGTTGGCTCCTTCTCGCCTCCTGACTTGCTTTTCTGGAACTGCTTTCTTGGACGGTGGGGAGGCCCGGCTCCTGCACTGGTTCAGCCCTGAGGTGCGTGGAAGGTGCCTTCAGAATTGCTGACCGCGTCCCTCTGAGAAGCAGGTTTGCTGCCAGAGTACGGTGTCTGTGTGTGGTCCTCGGCCCTTGCCTTGGTTTCCCCTGTTACTGAGGTCGGCCCGTCTCCACTCCCATCAGCAAGGTGGCGTCACCCAGCTGCATCAGGGTCGCCTGTCACAGTTTCTGTGATTCCGCCCTGGGGTTCCCAATATCCTGCTTATAAGACAGATCTAGGTTTTTTTCTTAAAAAGTTGTTACAAATTGTTGAACATAAGTGTGCTGGATCTCGGAGTTCCAGCACAGCTCATAAAGACCCCCTTTTCTGAAAATAAGTCCAGAATTTGGGGGTGAGGCCCAGTTAAAGGCTGACCTTGGTCACACTGCTGCTGGTCATCGGTGACCGGCTGGTCCAGGGCAGACATCTGGCCCAAACTGGACTCAGCTGAGTCCTCCTCTAAGATTTTCCAAACTGAACCCAAGGAGGGACGTCCAGGCTCCGTGAGTTTTTGATAAAGACAGAGAGTTATAGTTATGCGTCCATCACCCTGTACCACATAGAACGACTCCATAGAAACGGAGAGAAGACCTGGCCTTTGTCAAATGCGATGTGCAAAGGGCAGATGGAGATGTGGAAAGATGCTCACATCATCGGCCACTAGAGAGCATCCAGCATGGCTGACACCAGAACACTGAGGATTCCCCGGGCGGGGAGACTGGGCGAATAGGTCGTGAGAGGCCGGCCAGCATGGTGGACACCGGAGCGCTGAGAACGTCCCGAACAAGCGAGGATGGGGCGAATCGGTCACTGGAGACCGGCCGGCATGGTGGACGCCGGAGTGCTGAGAACATCCCGAACCGGCGAGGACGCAGCGACAGGAACCCTTGTCGGTGCTGGCGGGAGTGCACGTGGTGCAGGCCCTGTGGGAAACACTCTGGTGGTTTTTAAGAAAACTAAACATATTCTTCCCGTGGGATCCGGTATTCACTGTCCTTGGTGTTTACCCAAAGGAGTCGAAGACTTGTGTCCACAGAAAAACCTGCACGCAACCTTTATGGCAGCTTTGTTCATCATTGCCAGAACCTGGACAGGGCTGAGAAGCCCCAGACGATGGTGCACTTGGGCTGCAACGCGCCTCGGCCCTTAATTCATGCAGCGACAGGGACGATTCCTAAGTGCGTTTTGCTGAGCGGAAGAGCCAGCCCCAGAGGCCACACGCTGTGAGTCCATTTATGGGACTCATTTATGGGACATGCTGGAAAAAGCAAAGCCACGGGGGGTGGGTGGGTACGATCCTCGGTCACCAGGCTGGGTGGATACTGATCCGCGGTCACCAGGGGCTAGGAGCGGGGTGGTCGCAGAGGTATGCGTGTGGATGGAGCTGCTGCAACAGTTTTCAAGTTCAGACCCACCGCAGGCCACAGCTTTGGGGTCAGTTGGGGACACTCACGTGCCTGCACATCCCTTAGAAACAGGTCTGTGTGGGTGTGACCTGTCAACAACAGAACCACCACACACTCCCCACAACGTGACCTACCACAACGTAACAGCTACACGCTCCACACGGGCCTGCCGTGTCACTGCCACACGCTCCCCACGGCGTGACCTGCCCATAACGAAACCACCACATGCTCCCCACGGTTGACCCGCCAACAACATAATGGCCACATGTTCCCCACGGGCCTGCCGTGCCACTGCCACACGCTCCCCATAGGTGTGCTGTGGAGAAGCCAGGCCAGGAAGGAGGGGAGGTCCAAATGCAGACGCACAGTGGGAATTCCCGCTGGCCTCATGGCATGCTGTGAATGTCACCAACGCAGGAACAACAGGACCTATGCGGTGCGTGGGTGAGCTGCGCGTCCTGCTTTACCGACAGGAAGCCAGGTCTCAGAGAAGGGACTCGCCCACTTTCACTGTATGAGTAGCACTTTGGGCGTCTTCCGTGGGGCAACCAGTCATTCCCCAAGAGCTTGGACGCCGGTGCCACCTCTCACGTGGGTGATCCCGTGGCTAGGAGCTTGGGTGAGGACCAGGATCCACTCATTTGTGTCCTTCAGGACTGGGGCAGGAGAGGGTGGCTCTGGCTGGAGGTGCCAGGGCACTATATCTGGAGCGAAGGCCTGGCTCTTTTGGGGAT